TATATAATATTATTATATATATATATTTATATATATAAATATATATATATATATTATATACATGAATAATATATATTTTATATATATATATATATATAATTTATATATAATTATATATATATAATTATATATATATAATATAATATAATATATATATATATTATATTTATTTATATATTAATAATATATATATATATATATATAATAATATATATATATATATATATAATAATATATATATAATTTTATATAATAATTATATATATATATAAAATATATAAAATTATATATATATATATATATATATATATATATATAATATATATATATATAATAATATATTATATAAAAATATATATATATAATATATATATATATTATAATATATATATATATATATAATATATAAATTTAAATATATATATATAATATAAATAAATAAAATAAAATAAAGTAAAATAAAATAAAACCAAATAATGTAGTGGTTACGAATTTGTAAATGTTTACAAATAAAATTAAAAAAATGGTATATTTTCCTATAAATAATAAAATAATAATAATAATAAAAATAATAATAATAATAAAAAATTTTGAGGACCGATTAAACCAGAAATTTAAAACATTGGGATAAAGGGGATCAATCAGGTTTGATCCAGGATGGAGGAAATCTCAGTTGCTTGGAACCCAAGAGCCCTTCAACACAATCCATACATCTGCATTCAGATCACTATTGCAATTTATGGAGGAGCGGTAAACCCGTCGATGCCAAATTGCTCCTGGGCTAATAGCAAGCAATCAGGTTTGATCCAAGGAAGGGGAGAACAGGTCCACATACCTGGATCAAGAGCTCCTCAAAGACTCAAAGAATATCCTTGCAGCGTTGCATGGGAGTCACCTGGTGGGTCTTCCGGGGGTCAGCGCCCCCCGAGGTCTGGTCCATGACCTGGCCTAGTGGTATACCTGGTGGGTCTTCCGGGGTCAGCGCCCCCCGAGGTCTGGTCCATGACCAGGCCTAGTGGTATACCTGGTGGGTCTTCCGGGGGTCAGCGTCCCCCGAGGTCGGTCCATACCTGGCCTTGTGTATACCTGGTGGGTCTTCCGGGGTCAGCGCCCCCGAGGTCTGGTCCATGACCTGGCCTAGTGGTATACCTGATGGGTCCTTCCGGGGTCAGCGTCCCCCGAGGGCTGGTCCATGACCAGGCCTAGTGGTATACCTGGTGGGTCTTCCGGGGGTCAGCGTCCCCCGAGGTCTGGTCCATGACCTGGCCTAGTGGTATACCTGGTGGGTCTTCCGGGGGGCACGCCCCCCGAGGTCTGGTCCATGACCTGGCCTAGTGGTATACCTGGTGGGTCTTCCGGGGTCAGCGTCCCCCGAGGTTTGGTCCATGACCAGGCCTAGTGGTTTTAACTGGTGGGTCTTTCCCGGGGGGCCCGCGCCCCCCGAGGTCTGGTCCATGACCTGGCCTAGTGGTATACCTGGTGGGGTCTTCCGGGGTCCCAAAGCCCCCCGAGGTCTGGTCCATGACCAGGGCCCAGTGGTATACCTGGGGGGTCTTCGGGGGGGGTCAGCGCCCCCCGAGGTCTGGTCCATGACCGGCCTAGTGGTATACCTGTGGGTCTTCCGGGGGTCAGCGCCCCCGAGGTCTGGTCCATGACCGGCCTAGTGGTATACCTGGTGGGTCTTCCGGGGTCACGCCCCCCGAGGTCTGGTCCATGACCTGGCCTAGTGGATATACCTGGTGGGGGCTTCCCGGGGGGTCAGCGCCCCCCAGGTCTGGTCCATGACCTGGCCTAGTGGTATACCTGGTGGGTCTTCCGGGGGTCAGCGCCCCCCGAGGTCTGGTCCATGACCTGGCCTAGTGGTATACCTGGTGGGTCTTCCGGGGGTCAGCGCCCCCCGAGGTCTGGTCCATGACCAGGCCTAGTGGTATACCTGGTGGGTCTTCCGGGGGTCAACGCCCCCCGAGGTCTGGTCCATGACCAGGCCTAGTGGTATACCTGGTGGGTCTTCGGGGGGTCAGCGCCCCCGAGGTCTGGTCCATGACCTGGCCTAGGGTATACCTGGTGGGTCTTCCGGGGGTCAGCGCCCCCCAGGGCTGGTCCATGACCTGGCCTAGTGGTATACCTGGTGGGTCTTCCGGGGTCAGCGTCCCCCGAGGTCCCGGTCCATGACCAGGCCTAGTGGTATACCTGGTGGGTCTTCCGGGGGTCAGCGCCCCCCCAGGTCTGGTCCATGACCAGGCCTTAGTGGGGATACCTGGTGGGTCTCTCGGGGGGTCAGCGCCCCCGAGGTCTGGTCCATGACCTGGCCTAGTGGTATACCCTGGTGGGTCTTCCGGGGGTCAAATGCCCCCCGAGGTCTGGTCCATGACCTGGCCTAGTGGTATACCTGGTGGGTCTTCCGGGGGGCAGCGTCCCCAGGTCTGGTCCATGACCAGGCCTAGTGGTATACCTGGGGTCTTCCGGGGGTCAGCGCCCCCCGAGGTCTGGTCCATGACCAGGCCTAGTGGTATACCTGGTGGGTCTTCCGGGGGTCAGCGCCCCCCGAGGTCTGGTCCATGACCTGGCCTAGTGGTATACCTGGTGGGTCTTCCGGGGGTCAGCGTCCCCCGAGGTCTGGTCCATGACCTGGCCTAGTGGTATACCTGGTGGGTCTTCCGGGGGTCAGCGCCCTCCGAGGTCTGGTCCATGACCTGGCCTAGTGGTATACCTGGTGGGTCTTCCGGGGGTCAGCGCCCTCCGAGGTCTGGTCCATGACCAGGCCTAGTGGTATACCTGGTGGGTCTTCCGGGGGTCAACGCCCCTATGGTCCAGTTCATGACCAGGCCTCGTAGTGGATCAGGACCTGATCAACCAGGCTGTTGCTGCTGGCTGCACGCAATCATCTGGAGGGTGATGTAGTGGAGGCAGGATCCATACAAAGCTTTAAGATGAGGTATGACAAAGCTCATGGAGCAGGGGGAGAGTGGACCTAGTAACAACCACATATGGGTGAGTACAGACATACGGTACGATAAGGTTCTTGGAGCAGGGAGAATGTGGCCCTAATAGCGAAAAGGGAGGGCCAGGAGCTGTGAATCGACCCTTGCAACCACAAAAAGGTGAGTACAAAATAGTGTAGTAACCCTGTATAAAGTAAGAATTTAACACCTTTTTAACTAAGAGGAAGCCCGTTGTTGTTGACTCAGGTGGGAGTTAAGTTAGTGGGTTAGTAAGTTAATTATCATACATAGTAACATTTATGTAAATTACCAGTTATTACAATCAAAACAAAGAGCAAAACCCACATGGGTCATAGAGGTAAACTACCTAAGATAACCCAAAAAAGCCAAAGTGACATAATTCCATCGGGGTTGTTTGACCTTGCCGGAGTATAGACAAGATGATCTACCAGACATAACTAGGAACACATTGTTCCAGTTTCTGTTTACGGAGTGAGACTCAGAGTCTCCTTCAAATTTAACCCAGAATTAACCAATATATATTTTCCCCAAACTTTCTGAAGTTAAGGTGCAATAAGACATAAGCTTCAGTGGCCCTTAATAACCTTATTATAAGACATAATTACGGAGATGCAATTACCTATTTGTGGTTGTAAGGGTCGAGTCACAGCTCCTAGTAAGTAAGTTTATACAGGTATACGCAAATAGTTACATATATATAATCTATGTAACTGCTACATTACATTATATATAATCTATATAACATATGTGTAGAGAACCTCGATAACCCAAAAAAGTCTGGTCGCTCCACTCTCCTTCATGAGCCTTATCATACCTCTTCTTAAAGCTATGTATGTCTCAGCGTATATATGTGTATATATATATGTTCTTAATCTGTGAAAAAGTAAGTTTATTCAGGTATACACAAATACAGTTACATAGATTATTATACATAGTATACGTGTAGATTATTAGATTATCATACATAGCAGTATATGTGTAGATTATTAGATTATCATACATAGCAGTATATGTGTAGATTATTAGATTATCATACACAGCAGTATATGTGTAGATTATTAGATTATCATACATAGCAGTATATGTGTAGATTATTAGATTATCATACACAGCAGTATATGTGTAGATTATTAGATTATCATACATAACAGTATATGTGTAGATTATTAGATTATCATACATAGCAGTATATGTGTAGATTATTAGATTATCATACATAGCAGTATATGTGTAGATTATTAGATTATCATACACAGCAGTATATGTGTAGATTATTAGATTATCATACATAGCAGTATATGTGTAGATTATTAGATTATCATACACAGCAGTATATGTGTAGATTATTAGATTATCATACATAGCAGTATATGTGTAGATTACTTAGGATAATCCCCATAAAGTTAGTTTTGATTGTAATAACAATAATGTACACTCACCTGAGCATCGTTAACAAGTGTCTCAGGTTCTGTCTCTTGGTCACTTGTCCTCATCTTATTCTGTCCGCTGGACACATTAACCACTCTGGAAATAAGTCACTCTGACACTTATGATAATTTGTGTAATTGTATTCAAGTGTACCTAAATAAACTTAATAACCAGCTCTGAGCAATACTTTTCTCAGTATACAGACAGCGAGGTATATCAGACAGTATACAGATAGCGAGGTATATCAGACAGTATACAGACAGCGAGGTATATCAGACAGTATACAGACAGCGAGGTATATCAGACAGTATACAGACAGCGAGGTATATCAGACAGTATACAGACAGCGAGGTATATCAGACAGTATACAGACAGCGAGGTATATCAGACAGTATACAGATAGCGAGGTATATCAGACAGTATACAGACAGCGAGGTATATCAGACAGTATACAGACAGCGAGGTATATCAGACAGTATACAGACAGCGAGGTATATCAGATAGTATACAGACAGCGAGGTATATCAGACAGTATACAGACAGCGAGGTATATCAGACGGTATACAGACAGCGAGGTATATCAGACAGTATACAGACAGTGAGGTATATCAGACAGTATACAGACAGTGAGGTATATCAGACAGTATACAGACAGCGAGGTATATCAGATAGTATACAGACAGCGAGGTATATCAGACAGTATACAGACAGTGAGGTATATCAGACAGTATACAGACAGCGAGGTATATCAGATAGTATACAGACAGCGAGGTATATCAGACAGTATACAGAGTGAGGTATATCAGACAGTATACAGAGAGCGAGGTATATCAGACGGTATACAGACAGCGAGGTATATCAGACAGTATACAGACAGCGAGGTATATCAGAGTATACAGAGAGCGAGGTATATCAGACAGTATACAGACAGCGAGGTATATCAGACAGTATACAGACAGCGAGGTATATCAGACAGTATACAGACAGCGAGGTATATCAGACAGTATACAGACAGCGAGGTATATCAGACAGTATATCTGACAGCGAGGTATATCAGACAGTATATCTGACAGCAAGGTAAAGATAAGATAAGATTTTCTTCATAGCTTCACGTAACTGTCACCTGGTAAGTACTTACAAATTTCAATTAATCTTAATGCATTTTTCTCTGCCACTTGCATATTAGCTACCCAATTTAACGATGCCACATAAAGTTAGGTAACATGAGATAAGATAATGATAAACTTCACACCATTATAACTAAAAAAATGTCATATATTTAATATGGGAGAGGCCAAAGGTGTGGCACAAAAACTTTGCCCTAGGGAACACCAGTGGAAATAAATCACTTTGTCTTACTATTTTTGGGGGGTTATCCTAGGTAATTTACATATGTTACTATGTATGATAATTGTACTTATGCTTACTTGTACATAAACTTATTAGCTCTGGCTTCAGGCCAGGAAAAAGTATTAATGATGCTAAACTCTGCCTATCCAGTTCTGCAAAATAATTAATATCCAGTGGGCCTCTTAATTGATATAAGAAAAGCATCTTACATTGTAGATCACAACATCTTGCTGCTGAAACTACAGAATCTTGGTATCAGAGGTCATGTGACAGTGTCAATGTCTGACTTTGTTTGGGGTTATCCTGGGTAATTTACATATATGTTGCTATGTATGATAATTGTACCTAAGTGTACCTATACCTAAGTATACTTACTTAATGACACTACCTCATTAACACAGACTATCAACACAGGGGTGCCTCAGGGTAGTATCCATGGCCCTCTATTATTCCTTATCTACATCAGTGATCTATAAAATGCCTCCCAAGAACTTAAACCAGTTCTTTTTACAGATGACAGAACATTTGTCATATCTAATCCAGATCCTCTTGTCCTCAATAACACAGTGAATGAAGAACTTGTAAAGATTTCTACCTGAATGGCAACCAGCAAAGTAACTCTCAGTATCGACAAGACCTACTTGTTGTTTGGGAATAAAGCTAAAAATACCCAGTTGAGTATAAAAACAAAAAATTCACACAGAAAGGCAAGAGGAGAGAAAATTCTTGGGGATGCACCCAACACGTATCTAAGAAAATTTCCAAAAGTGGGAGCATTATGTCAAAAATATATTACTGTACTTTGCTTCCAAAATAACATTACTCTCTCTGTACTACTCTCTAATCTATCCCTACCTCACGGTATTTATGCTTGGGAATCTACTACAGCAAATTATCTCAACTCCACTGTTGCTCAACAGAAATCGGCTATTAGAATAATCACCCATTCAGGTTTCAAACAAAACACTCCTCCACCATTCCAAAGTCTCACCTTACCAAACATGCAACACATCCATACTTATTACTCTGCATTTTTGCATATGTAAGACACTCAAAATGAACTTCATCCTAGCACTCTGATCCTTCCTGGAGAGCTGTAACAGAACACACATAGTACAGTGGAACCTTGGCACTTGAACTTAATTCGTTCCAGAAGGCTGTTTGAGTGCCGATCTGTTCGAGTACCAAACAAATTTTTCCCAACAAATTTTCTTTTTGGTTGGCTATTATCACTAACCCTTTTTAGGCCCCATGGTGATTTATTTAAACAAATAATATAAAAAAAAAGCACCAAAAAAATGTGAAGAAACACGAAACAGTTTACAGCAAAGTTCTGGCAGGCTGTTTGTTTGGCCGAGTGCCGAGCAAACGGCCGACTACCGAGCGATTTATTTACCGAACAAAGTGTTCAAATACAGAATTGTTTGAGTAAGGAGCTATTCAAATACTGTACTGAGGTTCCACTGTACAAGAAATGAACATCTCTGATATACTGCGTGTTTGACTTAACCTATACAGGAATTCCACACAAATAGAGGGCCCTAAAATTTGGAACTCCCACAAAGATGCAAAAAACTTCCCATCAGTCACCTGCTTCATAAATGCAGTCAGAAAGCATCTCCTAATTCTGACTTAGACAGTTTATATTTAAGCCTGATATATCCATAGCAACCTTGTTGATCCAAACCATATTAGTATTCAAAATAATGTTCACATTGTCATCAGTCTGTTGTAACAAATGTGGTAACCAAATATATCTTCTACCTCAGTATTCCATGATATAAATGTTGTACTAAAGTTACACAAGATCTCAAAATATCTTAGTTCCTAACCAAACTGTCATAGTGTTTAAATGTCAAATATGGCAGACAGCAGCAATTTAGTAAACTTTTATCTCACTGTCTAGCAGTTATAAATTCATTTTGAAGGATGACCAAAATGCCCTACATAACCAAGTACAGTGGACCCTCGGCTAACGATATTAATCCGTTCCTGAGAGCTCATCGTTAGACGAAATTATCGTTAGCCGAATTAATTTTCCCCACAAGAAATAATGGAAATCCAATTACTCCGTTCCAGACAGCCAAAAGTACTAAAAAAAATAAAAAAAAAATTCATGAAATATACATTTCCCTACAAAGAAAACAATGAGACATGCACAATAACTATATAAATAAATGTTAAAATGACACTTACCTTTATTGAAGAGTATTGATGAGTGATGAGACACTGTTTTTCTTTAACTCTGGAATTTTCAGTGATACATGAGTAAAGGCTTCACTTTGCAATCCTCACTAACATTACAACAAAACAAGAAAGTTAACCTGTCTTTCATAGACTTGTGTCCTGGGAGTGCCTTTACCTCCTGAGTAATGTAGGTCCTGTTTGGCATTTTCTTCCAGAACAGGCCTGTTTCCTCACAATTGTACACTTGTTGGGGTTGGAATGTTTCAGCTTCATCATGCCTTATCACACTCTGTATGCCACTACGATTCTTAAAACTCTCAAACCAACCTTTGCTGGACTTAAATTCACCAATATGAGCACTAGTTCCAGGCATTTTTTCCTGTTCACCTGGGTGTTAGTCGACTGGTATGGGTCACATCCTGGGGGACAAGACCCCAATGGAAATAAGTTAGACAGTCCTCGATGGCTCTCTGACTTTCTTGGGTTATCCTGGGTGGCTAACCCTCTGGGGTTAATTGTTTCTCGATAATTGTTTCTCGTTAAGCCACACCAACAACAGTCTCTCCACATCTTCAAGTAGTACAGTTGACGGTGGTGCCGCAACAGCTGACGGTGGTGCAACAACAGCTGACGGTGGTGCAGCAGCAGCTGACCGTGGTACGATAGTATTTCGATAGTATTTCTCATCCTTTTTACCACAGGGTTGGCACTAGAAGATTTCTTTGGGTCCATGGTGGCTTATTTAGTAGTTACAAGTACCATAAACAATGGAATAATACAAAATGTATCGAATGTATGCATGAAACTGGCCACCCTGGTTTGTAAACAATGACAGCAGGGCAGCTGAGGCGCTCAGGCTGGATGGACAGGTTCGGGACAAATCACGTTGGGCGAGTTTTTTATCGTTAGCCAGGCCAAAATTTTATGCTCAAACGCTTCGTTGGGCGGAGTTAATGTTATGCGATGCGTTTGTTAGCTGAGGTTCCACTGTAGTTTATACATGTCAGTTACTCCTATGTCACTTGTACCGTACTTCACTTTATAGGAATAAAGTTATGTGTGCTAATAATAATAATAATAATAATAATAATAATTTGTAATAATAATATAATGATAACAGGTATAACTATACTGGAGTTTACCTGGTATGGGTTTCGGGGGTCAACGCCCCCGTGGCCCGATCTGAGACCAGGCCTCGTGGTGGATCAGGGTCTGATCAACCAGGCTATTACTGCTGGCTGCATGTACACTGATGTAGGAACCACAGCCCGGCTGATCAGGTACTGACTTTAGGTGCCTGTCTAGCTCCTCCTTGAAGACAGCCAGGGATTTATTTGTAATCCCCCTTATGTATGCTGGGAGGCAGTTGAACAGTCTTGGATCCCTGACACTTATTGTCTCTTAGTGTACTCATGGCCCTCCTGCTTCTCATATTTTTTTTTTATAATGGTATTGAGAGCACACAGGTGTTATGGGTACATACATGTATACACAGTACATTATACAGTATGGATTTAACTTAGAATCCACTTAAGTGAAACAAGTGTTTGTGTCCTAATTAACTTTAGTTAATTAGGACTTTTTTGGGTTACCCTAGATAATTTACACTTATGTTGCTATATATGATAATTGTACTTAAGTAGACCTGTACCTAAATAAACCTAGTGCATACAGCCAGGGACACCTATCATTCATGTGCACACTCCAGTAATTTTGCATTTGCTTTTTAAATTATACTCCTTGCAAAAGAGATGCCTGATGCTGGTGAAGGGCTCTTCATCCAAGGAATCAAAGCTTTCCTCCACTTTCTCAAATCAGGCCTGATTACCTCCTAGGCATTGTTTGGACCTGATTATCTCCTAGGCATCATTTGGCCCAGATTACCATCTAGGCATTGTTTGGTCCTGATTACCTCCTAGGCATTGTTTGGCCCAGATTACCTCCTAGGTATTGTTTGGCCCAGATTACCTCCTAGGCATTGTTTGGCCCAGATTACCTCCTAGGCATTGTTTGGCCCAGATTACCTCCTAGGCATTGTTTGGTCCTGATTACCTCCTAGGCATTGTTTGGCCCAGATTACCTCCTAGGCATTGTTTGGCCCAGATTACCTCCTAGGCAGTTTGGTCCTGATTACCTCCTAGGCATTGTTTGGCCCAGATTACCTCCTAGGCATTGTTTGGTCCTGATTACCTCCTAGGCATTGTTTGGCCCTCTATAAGAATCTTCCAATTGTGCTAATGTATTTTCCTTTGGCAGCAATGTATCAGAATGCATAATGACCTAACGATGAATACCACTGATGAAGTTACTGATGGCATACACTCTGAAGAACTTCACAAACTGAGATATCAGTGTGCTGTCAACAAAGAAGGACAAAAGCTGCTCTGCACCATATTTAATTGGTCCTACCTGGGAGGCAATCTACCAATCAAGGAATATTTATTCACCAACATCAATTTCACTAATGTAAAGTACAAGAGAATTTTCAATCATGACCAACGTGAAAAACTGAATGCTGGTATTCATGTCAGCAGTTTTGATATAACCCTTCTTTACAAACTTCTCCATCATGTCTGTGACCTTAAACAAAATGATGAAGACTGGAATTCAGAGGGGCCAAATGGACCAACTCTGGAAAACCTAATATTCAAGCTAAAGGAGCACCGGAATGTTCTGGCTCATGAAAATCCACAAATGACTGAGAAGCAGATGTACCTGAAGCTTGATGAACTTCGACAGCTATACGAGAAGATAATCTGTGAGGCTGGAAGCCGTTTCTGCAAAACGCCCATAGAAATTGCCTGTATCATTAATGCTATCAATTGCAATATTGATAGCATCTGCAAGAAGATTCGCGAACCCCTTGGACCACATGATATAAGTCAGTATCAGCAAGAGATCAGAGAAATTAAAGAACAACTCAAATGCAACATTGAGCAAATTACAAAAGAAGAGGTGAAAAAATTATATGCTGACACTTGCTATATAGATCCAGCACCATGGTTACTGATGCACTGCCAAATCAAGCCAACACAGATCTTCACCAAATTTACTATGAAAGAGGATGATGCCTATGGCCTGACAGAAGAGGATCAACAAAGAGAGATTTCATTTGATGGCATTTTAGAGGTCAAGTGTAATGACGGTCATTCTCCTGAAGTGCTGATACTGACTGGGGAAGGTGGAATCGGAAAAACAACTTACCTAAAGTACCTGAAAGAGAAGTGGCTCATGGACCAAGAGGCAGTGCCAGGCCTGGATGCAGTAGAATTGCTGTTGTATGTTGAATGCCGCCATCCTACCATAAGCACATTTGACCAGATGCTGGAACACATACTTCATGATATATCTGGAAAGGTGAATGTGGAATTTAAGCTCATCAGAGATATAGTACTCCACATGCAGCTACTTATTCTCGTGGATGGATTCGATGAAGTCAACAAGGCATCTGGCTGTCTAATACGAGAACTTTTGAATCTTCCCCGACATAACATAAGGATTATCTTCACTACCAGACCCTACAGTGCTAATAGTCTCACCAAGCAAATACCAAACTCCAAAAGACGAATAAATTTGATTATGAGTGGCATTACCCCAGTTCATCACCAACAATTTGTTGAGCGCCTCTGTCATAGCTTGGATGAAAAGAAAAGTTATCTTATAAGAGATCAACTGAAAAAAAAACTGTTGGTCCTGAAGTATCAACTTGGAATGCATCTGAACAACCCACTGACCCTCACACTTGTAGCACTTCTTTTTCTCAAAGACCCAACTAAAATAGACATGCTCTCTACTGCCACTGACCTCTATGAAGAACTAAGAAAATTGATCACTGAAAAACTTACTGAAAGATTATCTAAATATTCATTTGAATTAGAATTAGAAGAAAAATGTTACCAATTTCTGGAGTATAGTGATGCTCTCTCCTTCAGAGCAATGAAGCGTCAGGAGTATGAGTTATGGAGTGATACAGTAGAGAGCTTAAAGCAAAAGTGCAGAGATATAGGACTAAACCATAATGAGGTCTTATCTGCATATTTCACCACTCGTTGCTCAAGACAAGGTCTCCAAACCATTTTATATTACACTTACCATCACCTGAAATTGCAAGAATTTTCAGTGGCTAAACACATATTGAAAGAAATCACTCAGTGCAGTAACCTAGAAGATACTGTTAATGAGTTACTCCTTGAATGTGAAGTCTTTAAGAAAGAGAATAGGTTTCAGAATGTGCTAGTTCACCTTACAAGCCTTCTTGCAAAAAATCATCCCATTATCCTTGCCAGATATGCAGCAACAATTATAAGTTTAGTGCCTCTAAATGTAACCTATATTGATTCAGTGTTAGCTCACATTACAGAATCCAAATACAATGAATGCATTTTGAGAGCTGTTGCAGCCAAACTTGACATGCACATCAGCAATGGAAAAAGCCAGTGGCAGATCACAGATTATGGCAACATTCCAAGCCTCTCTTTAGTGTTAAAGCATACTTGTGTGGTTCCAGACATGATAATCCTAAGCATTAGTTCTTATGTGTTGCACCCTCTTCTAACACAAGCACTCTCCCATCTGTCCGAGCAGAATACAAGTTTGGTTTTGGACTTTCCCCAACATTATTTTGGGTCAGACAATTCTCTTGTAGATGATGTGCTGTCAGTATTGTTGAACTGTAGAGGTCCTTGCCGAATGATGGGTTTCCGTGGCCCCCTCTCACCAGTGGCAGTAAAGATGCTTCCTGAGTGTGTAGAGGAACTCCGCTTGCTGATTGACCCTGCTGGTCTCAATGCCCTCAACAAACAACTGCCCAGCCTCTGTCAGCTCAACACTTTAGGTGAGTGATACTTTTGCATGGTAAAACCAATAAAATATTCATTTAAATAATGTGTTAGTGCAATATATATATAACTATATAACCAACAAGGAAAGTGGATGTGAGAGTGGAGTTTTGTCTGGCAGTTATTAGATGGAGGACTGAGTCTCCACCATGTTTAGTATGGGATGGATCACCCACTTTTAGTGCTTCAAAATAATTACATAATCATCAATACTTTTTTTTTTTCAACAAGTCGGCCGTTTCCCACCTAGGCAGGGTGATCCAAAAAGAAAGAAAATCCCCAAAACGAAAATACTTTCATCATTTAACATTTTCACCTCACTCATACATAATCACTGTTTTTGCAGAGGCACCCAGATACAACAGTTTAGAAGCATATATAAAGATACAATATAAAAAGTGACCTGAAATAATATAAAAAACTCCATATAGAATACAATATCAGGGCCCCAATTATATATATAGAATCCTACTACACATCCCTCCAAATTGCCAATATCCCAAACCCTTCCTTTAGTGCAGGCATTGTACTTCCTATTTCCATAACTCAAATCTGGCTATATAAAAATAACCGGTTTCCCTATTTTTTTTTTTTTTAACAAGTCAGCCATCTCCCACCGAGGCAGGGTGACCCAAAAAGAAAGAAAATCCCCAAAAAGAAAATACTTTCATCCTCATTCAACACTTTCACCTCACTCACACATAATCACTGTTTTTGCAGAGGTGCTCAGAATACAACAGTTTAGAAGCATATACGTATAAAGATACACAACATATCCCTCCAAACTGCCAATATCCCGAACCCCTCCTTTAGAGTGCAGGCATTGTACTTCCCATTTCCAGGACTCAAGTCCGGCTATATAAAAATACTGTAACCGGTTTCCCTGAATCCCTTCACTAAATATTACCCTGCTCACACTCCAATAGATCGTAAGGTCCCAAATACCATTCGTCTCCATTCACTCCTATCAAACACACTCACGCACGCCTGCTGGAAGTCCAAGCCCCTCGCCCACAAAACCTCCCTTACCCCTTCCTTCCAATATTACCCTGCTCACACTCCAACAGCTCGTCAGGTCCCAAAAACCATTCGTCTTCATTCACTCCTATCTAATATGCTCATGCACGCTTGCTGGAAGTCCAAGCCCCTCACTCACAGAACCTCCTTTACCCCCTCTCTCCAACCTTTTTGAGGATGACCCCTACCCTGCCTTCCTTCCCTTTATATGCTTTCCATGTCATTCTACTTTGATCCATTCTCCCTAAATGACCAAACCACCTCAACACCCCTCTTCTGCCCTCTGACTAATACTTTTATTAACTCCACACCTTCTCCTAATTTCCACACTTCGAATTCTCTGCATAATATTTACACCACACATTGCCCTTAGACAGGACATCTCCACTGCCTCCAACTGCCTCCTTGCTGCAGCATTTACAACCCAAGCTTCACACCCATATAACAGTATTGGCACCACTATACTTTCATACATTCCCCTCTGCCTCCATTGATAACATTTTTTGTCTCCACCTATAACTCAATGCACCACTCACCTTTTTTCCCTCATCAATTCTATGGTTAACCTCATCCTTCATACATCCATCCGCTGACATATCAACTTCCAAATATCTGAAAACATTCACTTCTTCCATACTCCTCTCCAATGTGATATCCAATCTTTCTTTATCTAAATCATTTGATACCCTCATCACCTTACTCTTTTCTATATTCGCTTTCAACTTTCTACCTTTACACACTCTCCCAAACTCGTCCACTAACATTTGCAACTTTTCTTTTGAATCTTCCATAAGCACAGTAAAATCAGCAAAAAGTAACTGCATGAACTCCCATTTTGTATTTGATTCCTCATAATTTAATCCCACCCCTCTCCCCAACACCCTAGCATTTACTTCTTTTACAACCCCATCTATAAATATATCAAAACAACCATGGTGACATTACACATCCCTGTCTAAGACTTACTTTTACCGGGAAGTAGTCTCCCTCTCTTCTACACACCCTAACCTGAGCCTCACTATCCTCATAAAAACTCTTTACAGCATTTAGTAACTTACCACCTATTCCATATACAGTGGACCCCCGCTTAACGATATTTTTTCATTCCAGAAGTATGTTCAGGTGCCAGTACTGACTGAATTTGTTCCCATAAGGAATATTGTGAAGTAGATTAGTCCATTTCAGACCCCCAAACATACACGTACAAACGCACTTACATAATTGGTCGTATTGGGAGGTGATCGTTAAGCGGGGGTCCACTGTACTTGCAACATATGCCACATTGCTCTCCCCTATCCACTCTATCATATGCCTTTTCTAAATCCATAAATGCAATAAAAACTTCCCTACCTTTATCTAAATACTGTTCATATATATGCTTCAATGTAAACACTTGATCTACACATCCCCTACCCACTCTAAAACCTCCTTGCTCATCCACAATCCTACATTCTGTCTTATCTCAAATTCTTTCAATAATAACCCTACTGTACACTTTTCCTGGTACATATACTCAGTAAACTTATTCCTCTATAATTTTCAGTCTCTTTTGTCCCCCTTCCCTTTATATAAAGGGACTATACACGTTCTCTGCCAATCCCTAGGTACCTTCCCCTCTCCCGTACATTTATTAACCCTTTGGGGGTCGCCAGGCCCTGTCAGAGACTTGTTCTCAGGGTCACCAAAATTTAAAAAGAAGAAAAAAAAAAAAAGAATTCTTATGAAAAGATAGAGAATCTTTTCCCGATCATAATGACACCAAAAGTATGAAATTTGATGAAAACTTAGGGAATTATGCTCTTGCGAAGTTTATGGTCTCGACGATGTTTACGCATCAGCGATTTTGCCCACTTTGAGCCCTATTTTCGGCCAATTCCAGTGTACTAGTCGACAAAAATTATAACTATTTTGCTAGAACTCCATTTTTTCTATCGAATGAGCACAAGAAACCACCCATTTACCGATTTCAGCTATCCAATAAAGTTGTAAGAATTTAGCAATTTTCCCAATTTCACACAAATTTCAAAAGATGCCAATTTCCAAATAGGGTCCAGAATAAACAAGAAAGACATTCCTGGCACTAAAATAGCATTTCCTCTGTTCATTAGTCACTCCCCAGGCCTCTCTTACATTTCTTTTGCTTCCCACTTTGATTTTTTATTCTCACAAAAAAAATAAGATTTACTGTTATGCAGACTACTGCATTAGTGTGGAAATGGTATAAATGATATCGGTGCACTTGTGAAAGAATATCAGACTCACCAGTTGACGTATATTGGACGCTTAGCATGATTTGATTACTTTTGAACTTTGGTAAAAATCGAACATTTCTGCTACTTTGAGCTCAATTTCAAGGTACTTTTCATTGTAAAACCAGTCAAAATCATCTCAATTTCTGTAATATGTCTTCCATTTTATACAAGGAGACCAGGAAAACTAGAATACAACAATAAATACCATACGAAAATACAGTGCAAAGTCGCTGTTTTAAACCAAAAACACGATCAAAGTTTTTTTTTCTCATTATGCACTGTGTGCTGCAGGATTTTTTTTATACTGCACACACTGACCACATAGACCCATTCTTTCATATGTAGGCCTACCAGCTTTCTCTTGCTAGATTTGAAGGCGCTAGAATTTAATAAATGTATGGAAGAGGGTAAGGTACCTAGGGATTGGCAGAGAGCATGCATAGTTCCTTTGTATAAAGGCAAAGGGGATAAAAGAGAGTGTAAAAATTATAGGGGGATAAGTCTGCTGAGTATACCTGGTAAAGTGTATGGTAGAGTTATTATTGAAAGAATTAAGAGTAAGACGGAGAATAGGATAGCAGATGAACAAGGAGGCTTTAGGAAAGGTAGGGGGTGTGTGGACCAGGTGTTTACAGTGAAACATATAAGTGAACAGTATTTAGATAAGGCTAAAGAGGTCTTTGTGGCATTTATGGATTTGGAAAAGGCGTATGACAGGGTGGATAGGGGGCAATGTGGCAGATGTTGCAAGTGTATGGTGTAGGAGGTAGGTTACTGAAAGCAGTGAAGAGTTTTTACGAGGATAGTGAGGCTCAAGTTAGAGTATGTAGGAAAGAGGGAAATTATTTCCCAGTAAAAGTAGGCCTTAGACAAGGATGTGTGATGTCACCGTGGTTGTTTAATATATTTATAGATGGGGTTGTAAGAGAAGTAAATGCGAGGGTCTTGGCAAGAGGCGTGGAGTTAAAAGATAAAGAATCACACGCAAAGTGGGGGTTGTCACAGCTGCTCTTTGCTGATGACACTGTGCTCTTGGGAGATTCTGAAGAGAAGTTGCAGAGATTGGTGGATGAATTTGGTAGGGTGTGCAAAAGAAGAAAATTAAAGGTGAATACAGGAAAGAGTAAGGTTATGAGGATAACAAAAAGATTAGGTGATGAAAGATTGAATATCAGATTGGAGGGAGAGAGTATGGAGGAGGTGAATGTATTCATATATTTGGGAGTGGACGTGTCAGCGGATGGGTCTATGAAAGATGAGGTGAATCATAGAATTGATGAGGGGAAAAAAAGTGAGTGGTGCACTTAGGAGTCTGTGGAGACAAAGAACTTTGTCCTTGGAGGCAAAGAGGGGAATGTATGAGAGTATAGTTTTACCAACGCTCTTATATGGGTGTGAAGCATGGGTGATGAATGTTGCAGCGAGGAGAAGGCTGGAGGCAGTGGAGATGTCATGTCTGAGGGCAATGTGTGGTGTGAATATAATGCAGAGAATTCGTAGTTTGGAAGTTAGGAGGAGGTGCGGGATTACCAAAACTGTTGTCCAGAGGGCTGAGGAAGGGTTGTTGAGGTGGTTTGGACATGTAGAGAGAATGGAGCGAAACAGAATGACTTGATCAAGAGTGTATCAGTCTGTAGTGGAAGGAAGGCGGAGTAGGGGTCGGCCTAGGAAAGGTTGGAGAGAGGGGGTAAAGGAGGTTTTGTGTGCGAGGGGCTTGGACTTCCACC